TCAGTTAAGGGTCTTACATCAAGTGGCCTCAGAGAATACTGACTGGGGTCTAAAGGAAATGTGGTCTTGGCTAACCTCCTGGCTCCCAGATTTCGGGGCCCTTGGCAAGAAAATCCTGTATGGACTATTGTTTGTCTTGATAGTTCTGATAATGTTTTATGTCTTAGTGCAACTGATCCTCTGCTGCGTGAAAGCCAGCAGGAGAAGCTTTAGCAAGGCAAGAAAACCCACAGCAGAGTCTAGAATAATGGTATTACAAAAGTGTGAGCAGATTAAAAGAAAACATGAAAGGCTACATGATAAAATAGAGGGGCTCATGAGAATAAAAATTTAAGGGTAAAGTGAGACTAAATAGTCTCAAAGGGGGGGGAACTGTGGAATCAGAAAAAATATATGCCTTAAACTTTGACTATTTTAGTTATAAGATGACATAACCGCTTTGTGGAGAATTGCTGGCTCTATATAGTAGAACAGATAAGAGAAAGTGTTTGTTCTTTATAACTCCTCTGCAACTGCTTCGCTCACCGCGGCCTTGAAGATAGCAAAAAGTATGTACAACTCTGATTTGCAGGTGCAAGAAGGAGGTTTGTGAACTAACCTCGCCTCCCCCATTAGTTCCCATCCTGATTACAGCAAAGAAATAATGAAGTAATATTATAGCCGCTTTTCATGCTAATTTCACTATATGATCACGTGAGTTGTAAGCAACTGTTAAAAAGTATATAAGCCTCCTGATTTTGCTCTTGGGGGGGGACCCCTTCCAAGTGCTTGGGAAATCCATGTCACTTTGGAATCCCCCCTACAGCTGTAGTTTCTTTTAAATAAAAGCTTCTGCTGACCTGACCCAAAAATATGCTGCGTGTGTTTCCACAACAGTACTGTAGAGGAACTAAATGCAATGATGCTTCTCCTGACTGTTGCAGAATTAATCTGATTCTTGCAGCAGAGGAATGATGGCAGCTCTGAAGTCAGTGGAAAAAACAGTAAGCAAAACTCTGCTTCATTTACAAGTGTCATGCAGATAAACAGGAATAACGTAGACCTGAGAAGTATGGACTGTAATCCAGCAGAGTGCTTATGTACATGCTGGACCAGGACCAATCATAAAAAAAAAAAAATCACCAGTGACTTATTTTTAAAGCTAAACTCTTATACTATTACTCATGTTGAATACCACTACTTCACTAGTGGCCTATTGATATCAGGGTGCATCTACATGTTCATTAATGTGCGGTAATTACTGTGCATTTAGTTTAGTACTTGCTTAATGAAGTACTAAGTGCACAGTAAATACAGTTACTGTGCAGTAGCACCAACACATGGTTTTTTAATGACACTTACTGTGCAGTAGCTTAATACTACTGCACAGTAGCATATTAGCATAGTTTTTGCCTGGCACATTACTGTGCAGTGTTATTAGGCTACTGTGCGTTAAGCGTTTCGTGTAGACGTGCCCTCAGTGGCATACTCCTGGAGTAAGATACTATTTATTGTACTCAGGGTGTCCTGCTCTGGCCCTCGTTTTATAACAACTCATATCCCAGACCCTGAATTTGGTCCAATTTCAGACAAATCCTCAAACTGTCAATGTTTTCTCAAAAGCATTGGGTGTTAACCAACTTAATTCACATTTATTCTTTGCTTTTACTGAGCTTCTCAAAGACATTTTTGAACACTAATTAATTAAGCCTCACAATACTCCTGGAGACAGGTATGGAGTCTCCTCTTACAAATGGATAAACATAGGTAGAAATAAATATACACAGGTCCCTTTCAGTAAAACACCTGCTTAACGCTAAGTACAATCAGCATGATCCTCAGTTCAGCATATAAGCAAATGTTAGTCCTCTTCCTATCAACAGAAGTAAAGCACATGAGTATTTTGTAAGCACATGCTTAATTTCTTTGCTGAATTGCAGGTCACAGATAGTTAGAGGGGCAGAAATAGACTACAGGCGGTCCAAAGTGCTGTGCACTAACTAACAGGCTATCTTATTCCTCTACAGTTTGGGGAGGAATTTTTTTGCCATTAGTTGGCCTACAGGCTTCCATATGCATAAACTCTTCCATACCCCCTGCTAAGGATATCAGTGAGGTTCTGGCCACCTATGGTCATGTTGGCATATGACTTCCTCATAAGCAAACCTATGAAAAATTGCAGTGCACACCTCCACCGAGTGTTCTCTTATTGTTATTGCTGGAAAGCATGTTTATCTTGATGTGACACTTCATTCCTGGTAAAATGTTTGGATAGTATAATTGTTTCCAACATATTGTTCTGACAATCAAGATGAGATACCACTTGGTCATAGACCCTCTTATACCATTATAAATGCTATAGGATCTCCCAAAGTGAGGTCCATGGGTAACTTATGGCCAGTGAAGTATTTGCATGCAGCCTGGAAAGAAACTTTTGCAATGGCATAGGTCCTTGACAGATTCAACTGATTGAGGCTGTAGTAATTGTCTGTTCATTAGTAAATGAAACCTTTGTAACAGCCTTGTATTTACCTTAATTTTAACCTTGCATATGTAAGGCATATTCTGTTAAATCTGTTCATGGAAGTATTGCATCATAGATTCATTTTGTTATATGGCCCCCAGCATGATGTCATGATCACTATACAGGCATCCCGCATCTTACGCGGGGGTTACGTTCTAAAGGCGAAAATCACGTATAATGAAATTGCACATTACCGTGCTAATGGTGACTGCCTCTGCCTCCAAAACCTCCTGCCGCCGCCGTGGAGCTGCGCTTAGAGCTGTGCAGCCGGCGGCAGCGGCGCAGCGCGGGGTGGTGGTGGGGATGGCTGCGTGCCGCCCGGCCACCACCACGCCTGGCAGCTGGCCACACAGCTCTGGGCACGGCTCCCTGACGGCGGGCGGGGGGTTTTGGGACGGGGGCCGGGAGGTTTTGGAGGCAGAGGCAGTCACTGCTGGCAGCATGGTGGTGGCTGGGCCTCCAGGTAAGCAGCAGTGCCGCGTGCAGACTCAAGCCCCACCCCACCACGTATAGTTGAATTCACGCAAGTTAAATGCGCATAAGATGCGGGATGCCTGTACAGCCTTCCATGAACAAAATTTGGGAACTCCTAACCCTAATTTTGATCTCTCAGTTTTCTTAAGTCATAAACAAAGAAACAGAGATTGTTTCTCCACCTTTGATGTTTGCCTATTTCCCACTGACCATATCTTATCTGTTGGGGAAAAAGGATATTTCCAATAGCATCCATTAGAAACCTGTACATATAGCAGTTAACATTGCCCACAATTTTTTCCAAACTGGATAGTTAATTTAGAAATTAGTTTAGATTATTATTTCAACTATATATTATTGGGTACTTGTCAACAGTTTAATCTAATACATTTAGATTTTTAAAGCCAGAAAGAACCACTAGATTGTCTAGTCCAGATGTTCTCAAACTGTGGTCTGTGGACCACCACTGGTCCGTGAGCTCCATTCTGGTGGTCCGCAGAAAGGTTGTGGAACAATCAAGAATATCTGTACTTGTAAGGTAAGACTACTGATCTTAAAATATGAGTTGTGTGCTTTGATTTGTAGAACAAAAAAAAAAGTTTAAGTGGTCTGCCCAGACCCCTAGCAATTTTCAAGTGGTCTGCAAAAAGAGAAGTTTGAGAACCCCTGGTCTAGTCTGATATTGTATGTCTCATAGGCCAGAAACTTTATTCATTCACTCCTATATATTTTAAATAATTATTTGTGGTTCCATAGTACCTTCTAAAAGTTTATTTGTTTGGCTTAAGCATATCTTCCAGAAAGGCATCCAGACATATGAACATTACAAGAAATAGAGAATTCGCTATATCCATTGGTAATTTATTTCCCCTATATCTTAGTGTTCAACTGTGACTGGCTGCTGGACAGACCTAACCATGTGAGGTCAATGAATGCTGCATGTACTCAGAATTTGGCTCTTTATTTGTTCTTTAATTTAAAAAGTGTGGACAAGACAGATTAGATCTCACATTTGTGTAATTTGTTTGGGCAGGCAAATGGGGTGTGTAAATAGCAACTGTTATTGGTCATTGATACTAAGAATAGATTATTTGAACCCAGTAGTTACTGTGGTCAGCATTGTTCTCTTTTGAAGATTATTTATTCAGGAATATGCTTATGATGCAATATATATTAATATATTCCCCTTTGCTTTTTGGGATGGAGCATGTATTCCCTGAAATCCTAAGGAAAAGTTACTGTGTATTCCTAGAAAGGGAACGCTTATCATTAATCTATTAAAGAAGCCATTGTAAATAGAAAATAGACTATGGGTGCATCTACACGTCGCTATGGTAATGTTGTTACTGCGCTATGATTTAGTACTTCCAAAAGGAAATACTAAATCGTGGAGCAGTAAGAGCCCGTACTGTGCCGTACGTGTCCCAGGGAAGTGGTCCTCGCCCCTACCTTGGGCAAATTCAAGAGGAGGTTGGACAATCACCTGTCTGGGGTCTTGTGAACTCAGCATTCATTCCTGCCTGTGGCAGGGGGTCAGGCTAGATGATCTGTTCAGGTCCCTCCTGACCCTAGCTGCTATGAAACTATGAAACATGCAACGCATGGTTATTTTTAGAAGCTACTTTGCTGTAGCAGTGTGCTATACCAGGGGAGTGTGTTGCTATGGTGAAGTAGCTGCCGCATCACGGTTCTTGCCCACGGACACTACATTGCTGTAGTGCATTGCTATGGTGCCATAGTGTCACATGTAGATGTGCCCTATGAGAAGTATCTGAAGGTGGCTTTTTACCAAATCATCATAATTGTCCTGATTTCTTCTTTTCAGATGATTGGAGCCAAAGAAAACAATCAGCGAAACAACATCATTGCTAAGCCCAAGTACCACTGAGTGATGTGTATGCAGGTGTGTACCACAGCACAAGGAAAAAATACAAAGGAGTAGAAAAGTGATTAACAATTGCAAATTTATTTGATGGAACAGTATACTCTAGACAAGTGAGTCACTTACAATAGACAAGGGGCTAGATCCTATTCTACCTATTAGGTGCCTAAGTGGTTTTAGGCACCTAAGTACAATCCTATTCCATCCTATTTTGTCCTTGAAAAACTATTAACGTAATGTAGGGTTTCTTTTTCTTCCTTGCTGCTTTTTGTTATTTATTAGTGTGCTAGCTAAGATGATGCCATAATTTAAAAGTAGATGGATTAGCGGTTTTTCAAAAGCTCAAGCAGGGTGGAATAGGATCACATTTAGGTGTCTTAGTGAATTTATCACTTAATAAGTGGAATAGGTTTCAGCCCAAATAGTCTATAGTTTATTTTCCTTGTATAAATCAAGTCTGATTATGGGCTGAGCAGTCGCCCCGTTAACTTCATGCTCCATGGAAATCTGAAAGAAATTAGCTCACGTTAACATTATAGTCTGTGTTCTGCTCTTGAGCTGTAATGTTAAAAGAAATTCAATTATGTTATGTGGACCATCAAACTATAAATGAACTGGCACAAACTTCTAGCCATTCAAATAATAATGGAAACAAATCTGAAAGATTAGGATAAATATTCTAAGTGTAGTATGCTGATCCGAACCAGCGAAGTCAGCACTCATATACAAATCCCTCTTCCCTACATAATTCTTTCTTTCATCACCATGATCTACCTCCATTTCATAGGCTTCCTTCTCAAGTGTTGGGGTGCAGAGTGTTTACCTTATACCCCATTCAGTTAACCCCTTTCAAGATGCACTGTTCGGTGGAAGGAGGCCAATATATTTTATAAATTATATTTCAGTCCTAGCGCTTAGCTTGGATTACAAAAAGACCTGGTTGGCTCTATGCACAGGTCTGAATTTCACCCAGAATATTTAAATTATGCTCATAAGTTGACTATAGTTAAACCTTGTTTAGGTGCAGTCCATTCCCCTTGTTTCTATTGTTCAGTTGGTCAGTTTTTGTTTTTAAGTTCAGCTTGCAAACTATTATAAAAATGAATAGTCCTGGGACAGATTTTGGGAACATTAGGAACCCACAGATGAGGGGTTCACATACAAACAGGAGCGGTCTTGCTTTTATTCAGCACTTTATTATGCACCACACTGTATGAATCAGGTTCTCTTTTGCACAAGTCTCTTTTCCTCCTTAAAAAGGTTAACAGTGAAGACCCATTTTTGTCTCCACAACCATCACTAGACACAGAGTAAATTATTCTGATATTGCAAGGAGAAAAGGAACAATGTCTGCATTTAGAAAAATATGGGGGAGATGTGACAGATACATGCCTTCCTTTCAAGATGATTATCTACTATGTTTTTCACCAGTACCATGCAATTATCATTATTATGATGTATATACTCCAACACTGAGCCGGTCATGCAAAGCTGTTTTAAAACCTCTGTTGTCATTTACACATCCACACCTATTGTTTATTACTATAGTTCATCTAACATTAGGTTCTAATCCTGATGTCAAAGGAATGCAGAGATCCACACCAGCTCATTCTAATATGTTTGAGTGGCTTTAGATTGTAAATATATTAAAGTAATATTTTGTTGTATTAGTGTTTAATTAGTAATTTGTTCTTCCTTGAATAAATCTATTGAGTGCCAGATTACATGAGGTAGAAAATGAAGTTACATAGGTGAAGCACCTAACATGCTTTTTGGGTTCTGTGCAAATATTTCCAAGTGTGGAATAGGAAAACAAAAGGATTTTTTTTATACATTGCTAACCTTTCTTTAAAGACCATGACAACTCATTCATGATGAACCCTTTAAAGAAACAGATCAAACCTCATTGGTTGTCTATATCCACAATGTGGACTGCAAGCTGGGTCCCTGTAGGCTGCCCAGTACTTGTGTAGAGCAACTGGCAATGCCCAGGCCTAGGTTTGTAACAAGACATAAATAAGTCCTCCTGTCTCAAAGACTTTTATATTTGTTGATTAAATTGATTAAACATTTTAAACATCACCTTCTGGATGGCCTACATTCCACCATCTTCAATAGTTCTTCCATTTCGAGGCTGAAAATATAATATTTAAATAATCATACTGAAGTACAGATGTCAGACAAAACGCATTGAAATGTGTCTCTCCTAGTACATTTAGGATGGTTGAGAAATCTTACAATTTTGTCTCAAATGGATGTGTTGAGTGAAGATGGCGTTTTTAAATAGTGTGGATGAGGTGCTTTGCCTCAGTCTTGGATATGTTTGCTGAGCTTCTGCACCTAGAGCTAAAAGCCTGGCTGACTGAATTCTCATTCAGCATCTTGGCCCTAGTTTAACCAGATAAACAGGCATATGCCTAGCTCTAAGCATATGGGTAGTTTGATTGAAATTACTCGGGATGCTGGTATATTTTTAAAACACGTGTTTAAATACCCTGCTGAATCAGGCCCCCTTTTTAACTAAATTTCCTTGTTGTGTTGATGGAGGCTTGTGAAAACCAGTTTTCCCATTTCTACATAACACTGCATTAATTCAGTCTAGGTAACAATAGCATCAGCAATATATTCACTTTGGACAAAGAAGCAACAGTCCAATGAGAAAGAAATGAGCTAGAGATTATTTTCATCATTTCCAATTTTGCTTCTGGTATTTCATTCTCTTGTGCATTATACTATCACCCACTGGGCATGCTGTCTGAACCGTTCGAATGGTGTTCTTATATTTGTCTAATGAATTATTAGTGCTACCACTTTAAACAGAGTTGAGGGTGGAAACCTCTAGGTAGAACAGCTCTGGGAGCACCATTTGGAAAATCAGCCAATGTACCAGAATGTCCATTACTGCCCAGAATCTCACTGTCCTTTCTGGTTCTTTGGTCTAATCACAAGGATGTATGAGGGTATGGACATACATACCATTTGGAATCATTTTTAAAAGGGAAAGCTTTCAAAAGGGCAGCAGCTGGCACCACTAATTGTTATGTGTGGACATGCCAGAAATTATACTAATATAGCAAAACCATTTCAACTTTCATAAAACTTTGATAAATCTGTATGCCTGGCTTGTTCACATGTAACAGCTACTGCCCTTTTGAAACAGCTCCGTATGTACATGTGTCCGTACCCTGCACTTTCTAAGAGATGACTGCGTGGCTATAGAATGAGGGCCACAAGAATTTCTAATGAAAATAGCTCTATATTCTTTCATACAGATAGTACAGAACTGAATAAGAGACAGGAAAAGAAAGTGAAAAATAAGTTACCCTGAAAAGAAAAAAGGGTCGTCCCATGGTACCAGGACTATCCTGTAAAATAAAACACAGACCATTAACACAATATTGGAAACGATAGTTTCATGGATATACTGATAAGTCTCAGCATCATTTTGTCAATGCATCAGTAATTCAGGAACCTTTTCAACAGCATGCAAATAGCTACATGCCAATAGTCTTTGATGCCCATTCTGCTGAAGTACTGATTAAATATTAATACCAAGACGGCATTGTCAAGAACTATCCACTTTGTGTGATGTAAATATATTTAGTTCTGGTATTTTAATATGGTGCTGCAAGGGTTTAGAAAAAGTGAAGGTAGCTTTAGAAGTGACAGATAATATTCTAGAAGCAAAGTGAGTTACTTTAGTACAACTATAGTCTTGACCATTTAAAAAATCCCCCACTTGTTTCTTATGTTAGCGTACCTTCTTTGTAAACTCTGCAGTAGCAATTTGTTCCTGCAAGGTGACAGTACATATTAGTTTTAATGAATCCTTCCATTCATGAGGTTTATTTTGATTTCTCATAATAATCCTCCAGTGCTGATGAATCAGGTTGCTCCAATTCATTTTATTGGAAGAGAGAGTATTAAGCACAAACACAGATAGGAATTGTACTAGCAAATCAAAGTTGATGCATTTAAGTATTGTTAACAACTGTTATGCAAACTGCATGCTGCTTTCACTTTGATTCAAAATTACACCATCATGCTCTTGAGGACAATGCAGTACTCGAATTGAGGAAAACATTGGGAACACCATTCACCCAGTTGCAAAGCAATGATTTGTTAAAATATGGCTACTCCCCACCTTTCATATTTCCATCAGTTTTTAATCTGGTCATAGCTGCTGCACCTGATTTCTGCTCATGCTGCACTTGTTCTTTAGGAGATTATTCATTTTGGGCTGAATTCTGCATCACCGAAGTCACTGGAAGTTGCACCACTGACTTCAGGGGGAGTAAGAAAAATCCCTGTTAGTCAGGGCCTGAATCTGCAATCTGTCGGGGGCAGGAGGACTGATCAGATTGCGAAACTGGGGCTGGAATGGGAAGAGCCAGTGCATTCTCATCAGCAGAGGTGAATGGAAGCAGCAACTACACCGCTGAATGGGTGCAGTTATCATGGGGAGGTTTTAAAGATGGGTAAGTAAAATGTAGATGAGAGTAAGGATCAGAAAGTGGGAGAAGAGAGGACATGGCACAGGGAAAAGACAGAAAGAGAAAGAGTAAAGGAGAGGAACTGACATTTATATAAAACCTGAGGAGAAGGAAAGACAATTAGAGCACAGGGCATAAGGCAAAGGGATTTCCCCTTGTTAACTGTTCTCAATTCGAGTATTAAGACAATGATTTACAATCGACATGCACTGTTGGTGCCATACAATACTATGGAAGAAACAAGTGCATACTGGATCAAGGAATCTTTTCGTTCTTCCCTCTGAGAGCTTTGGAGCAAGGCGCATTAAAGGATGCAGAAGGGAAGACTACAATAAAAAAATATTGTGAACACTAGGTTTGTAATAAAATGATCACTGAACATGAAACATTCAAACACTCTGGCTCAGTGGTCTAGCTAGCCTAGGGCTCCCAAGAGCTCAACTAATATTTTTTTATATATGTGAAATTATTCTGGAGAGGAACCAAGGCAAAATATGAGCATTTTAGCAGCTCTTTGTCATTTTATTAGGTGGAATTTTTAAAGGAGTCTATTGCGGTTATGGAACTAAGTTCAGCTAATCCTCAGTGAAGTTTGAGTGTATAACTCCATTAAGATCCTTTGAATATGCCAGCTGTAAGATATATGCAAAACAGTTCTACTTAGTTCTTTAAGAAATATTCCACAACTCAGGTGGAATTTTAGCCCTGTGACTTCAGTGAGAGTGGTTCATTGCCTTTACTGGGGTCTGGATTTTATCCCTTTCATTAAAACACACTCTTAATGTTTTAAGCTAATTTTGATCTAAATTAGATTAAGTCCCCCCCAAAATAAAGTCCTAGGACTATGTAAGGATATCCAGCTCCACCTGAAATCAAAAGGATGTGTGCCAGTTTCTACTATAGCTAAATTTAGCGTATTGTGTCCATGGTGTTGAGAAAAAATCCTAAGCTTTCGGGTGAGCTGAAGAAAGGGATATTCATATCATAAATAGGTGTGTACAAGGCTTGTTCCACCTTTGGACCTAATCTTGTATTCTAACCTTTCTTAAAGCATCCAATACGGTCCTGAAATACTAGAGACCCTGATACAAACTGCTACATGAAAAAATACTATATTAAATTATCTTTCAACCTGAAACAGTGATGATTACCTAGCATGAACCACCATTGACTTCTGCAGGACAATAGTTTTACCAGCGCTATCCAGATGATTTTGGAAGGCTTCTAATGAGCGATCTGCAGGTTATGCTAATGTCACTTTAAATATATTTACTAGATAAGCAGAACCCAAGGGTTGTTTTTTTTCCTTCTTTCTTATTTTCAATAGAAAACAGTGTAAGCATTATGCTTTTTAGTAATTAAATAATAGTATCAAAATTATGATAATATTAAGAAATTGGCAAGCAATCAAGAAATTGGCAAGAAGATGGCTAGGGGATCTCATCAGAGCACTCCCTGTAATTAAAGACATTACCCATGATCTGAGACATATTGTCCAAAACAAACTTCATGGTAACATCTTGCCCTTTTCTAGCCAAAGTCAATCATATATAAAAAGGTCCAAATGATTCTGGGACTTCTGTAGGTAGGTTTCTTGAATAACAAGAATTATACAGTTATATCAGGTGAGAAGTAGCTCTAAGCCTACTACTGACATTGGTTGCCGATGGTTTGAATTAAGGGAAGTCACAATGTCATAGCCATGAACCTTAAGCATAGAAACAGCCCCACTAAAAATCAGTGGAGCAGTTCATAAATGTTTATTTTGGTCATGGAAATAATGTATCTTGCTGTTCCACAGCCTAGTGAGTACCTTGTTAACACATTTAAGTCTGTGCTACACAAAAGTGATGATGATGTTAAAATACTAACCCCATTTTTAAGTGGATATGCTGAATCTTGAGCTCTTGAGTAGTGAAATAAAAACTGCATAAAAAGAGCAATTTTAGTAAATAGCTTTACAGAATCCAAGAGTGAATGTTATATACAAATTACTACCAGGAAGCAATACTTACTCTTTTATATATTTCCTTGCTATTTTCCTAGTAAAGATAATGATGATGATACAGTGTTTAACTCTATTTGGCTGGAGAGAAGTGTTGAGAAATTTTTTTCAAGTAAAAAAAAATCATTAGATCTTACCTCAGCTATCTGCATGCTATTAAATATGGAGTTACAAAGATCCATAATAGAACTGGAGATCTAAAAGACAAATAATATTTTAACACACATTGATATTTGTGGCCGGGTGGATTTGACTTAAATCAAATAGATTAAAATCATGATTTAAATCAGTAGTCAGGAAGCCTCAATTTAATCATTGTTTTCTACAAAAAGTGCATTATTGTTGTTTGATATAACCTTTGTTCAAGGCTACAGAAATAGGCTTCAGGATAGCCAGCATACGTTCTACATTTCTCTTTAGCTCAATGTTGAGAACTTTGGCTATGACAATTCCATCTATTTTGTCATGATTTTGTTCACAAGTTGACATCAGATTAAGTTCTCAATATATCATTCAAAACAGTCAACTACGGAGTTCCATTGCACACCTTGTGGGAGAGTTAGTTTGGTTCCTCCTGCTTTCTTCAGAGCAGCTGCTGCAAGGTTATTACGGAAGTATTTTGCAATTTCAACAAGATTCTGCTCAAAATGTTTCTTTTGTTTCTACTGCCTCTTCCTCCTTGCATTTGTCTCCAGACTCTTCCTTCTTGCCCAGATCTACACCACCCCCAACAATCCTTTATTCATTTAATTTCTTGAAATGTTGCACTTTTAGAGAGAGGTAAGGACTTGACTCTGTGTACACATAATTTGCAGAGAGACAATAGGGCTGATGCATACTCAGTCTCAGGTCTGTTATCTCTCATCTCCATATACTTCTGTTAACAAGGATATCTCGAGACACAAATCCACAGTTTGAGAACTGAAACTAAGCGTCACAGAGATGCTTAATGGGATCTTCTAGACTAAGCACTAAGTCCCATTGGGTAGAGTGGTTTTATTTAATCTTTATTAATTTATAGAGAAGCCTCTGGGAACCCCATAAGATTGGGCCCCTAATATATTCCATGGCCTGTTGTGACCCATTTATAAAACTTTTCTAAAAAAGTTACATGAATATATTGTCTCAAATAGTATATAATTAGAAGTTATAATCCCTATTCCATGATGATATCTTTGAGCTTTGACATATCTTAAATTAAAACTATTTTATATAGGTTTATTTTTGTAAAAAGATTAACAAAAAATAAAAAAATACAATTTTTTAATTTAAAAAATGTGTTGATTTTTATCCATCCTGATTCATGGTATGTTTTTGCATATGACTGTAGAGGCAACACCTGATTTGTCTTTCATTTTAATAAATGATTCTCTTGAAGCCCATAGCATTACAATTAAGGTCAGACAGTGGGACTATGAATACTGGAGCTGTTGTCAGATACAACTAATGTATTTTATCAGGTGAAAGGTGATAGAATGTTGTTAATATTATCAACCAAGCCACAGACTGCCCACAAAACAAGCAGAATCACATTGGAGATATTTAAAATGGAAAGAGGCTTAAAGAGCCATTGACAAGAAGAATTCAATCTATACTCCATTTCATCTATTATTGCTCTTCCATGTTGTCAGAGGTTGTTCACAGTGGTGCAGACCTAAGCTCCACTGAAGTGGATGGGAGTCATTTAATTAATCTCAAGTTATTTTGAATTGGGCTCCCCCGGTGCCCTGTTTATACTATACCTGATCAGGAACAATTTACTTGTAGAACAAGTTAGAAAACCTCTAGCTCAGTCATGATCAGAGACAACAACTATTTTGGAGTTTAAGGGGAGTTTTTGAAGTCTGTTGAAGCCAGTAGAAAAATTTGCTACACATTTGAATCAAGTTGTTCACCACCTTTGTTGCCTGCAGGCTCTGGACCAGATGAACCATTTAGAGAGGAGACAGCAGTTTTACTGAACAATGCAGGCAGCCCAGGGAAAAGGCCCTGGCAGTAGGTTGCTTAACAGATCTATTGTTATCAGTATAGCAACACTGAGAATAAGAGGATGAAGTTATATAGGCAAGGAAAATAGAACAGAAGGCAGCAGAAGCATTGAGCAACACCTCAGAGGAGACTTAAAGAGGCATTTATACTCTCACAGAATCATAGAAAATCAGGACTCGAAGGGGCATCCAGGGGTCATCTTGTGTAACACCCTGTTCATGGGAGGATCATTCCTACCCACACTATCCCATACAAGTTATTGACTAATCTGTCCCTCAAAACTACACAATCCACCCTGTCAGACAACTCTAAGGCATATTGTCCAAAGACCCCAAAGCACTTTAACCTGCCACAGATAAAGCAGAGGGGAGAAGGGTGGGGAAGCTATCTGTACCCCACCACTGCCAGGACTGTTAAAATGCATAATATATAAAGTACATAAAAGAATGTGGGCCAACGTATTAGAAAGCCCATTTACCTGGGGTTGATTGAGCTCTGTCCATTGACTGAAACACAGTGCCAGTTGCTTAAAAATAAACAAAATAAGTTAGCATGTGCTTACGCGTTTGCCATTGTGTTTCACGTGGAGATGTTTCTCCCAGTCCAGCGGTTCTCAAGCAGGGTGCCCCAGCCCCACGGGGTGCCACGAGACGATAGAATTATAGAATATGAGGGTTGGAAGGGACCTCAGGAAATTATCTGGCATAGGCGACTGGTAGGGGGTGCATGGTGGTGCACATGCCCCCCCTAATGGGGCCGGTGCCCCCCCTGATGGCCAACACTGATGCTGTTGGTAGGGCTCGTGCCCCCCCTGACAGGGCCACTGCTGTCAGCAGCTTCTGCGGGTGCCCCCCAGATTCAGGAGGCACCAGTCATTCATGTTATCTGGTTCAACCTCCTGCTCAAAGCAGGACCATGCCCAGAATCTCATCCCCACCAAGACTTTGGCTATCCAGGTCTTAAAAACCTCTAAGGACAGATATTACATAACCTCTCTGGGTAGCCTGTTCCAGTGCTTTGCTGCTCTCCTAATAAATCCTAATTAGCAATCTTAATGCCATTAGACTGGCTGCTCTGGCCCTTCCCAGGAGAAGCAATCTCACAAGTTCAATTTCACATTAAAGTCAAGGGGGCTATACCTCTGAATCAAATTGTTCCCCTTCTCACCTTGCCTTCAGGCTCTGGACCAGACGAACCCTTCAGAGGACAGGGGAAAGGGGCATGCAACAGTAGGATGGCTGGAGGTGCCAGCCCCTAATGCACAAGTCCCCAGGGGAAACTCAAGAGACTTCCCTAGGATAATCCACAGTGCTCAAATGATTTTGCCCGGAGCTCAGTGCAACAGGAGACGGGCTCTAGTGTTTTTGTCTATAGTCAAAAAAGGAGTGGAAGCCCAGAGCTGACATTTCCAAACAGGGCTCTAAGCAGGCAGGTCTATAGATGCACAGACCTTATTTATAGATAGATTGATCTAGATCTATCCTTATAGACTATATATATGTGGAGAGATCTAGATCTATTCATATAAACTTTATATATGTGGACAGATCTAGATCTATCCTTATAGACTAAATATATGTGGAGAGAGCTAGATCTATCCATATAAACTTTATATATATGGATGGATCTAGATCTATCCATATAGACTTTAGATAGATAGATAGATAGATAGATAGATAGATAGATAGATAGATATGTTGCTCATCCTTTGGAAATGAAGATGACTGCATTCAGTGGGGGAGAAGAGAGAAAGGAAGTGGGAAAGAAAAAGGGAGGGAGAAAAGAGGGAGAAAGAGAGGAAAAAGGAGAAAAAAGAGAGAGGAAAGAGAGAAAAGGGGGGTGGAGGCTAAGTCTTGTGGGTACGCAGGTGATTTATAAGCCCAATCTTTGCCCTGAACAATCTTCAGATATATCTATATAGCCCTTAGATAGATAGATAGATCTAGATCTATCCATCCATATACACCTTATATATAGAGATATATCTAGATCTATCCATATAGACTATATATAAAGCTATCTACATAGAACTTACAGATATATAGAGATCTATCTAGACCTTATATAGAGAATTTATACATGTCTATATAGATGTAGATCTATATAGATCTACCTATTTATTAAAATATCTATAGACCATTTATATCCATATAAAAATATACAGACCTATCTGTCCTTCTAGACTTTTGATCTATAGACCTATCTATGCACCTGTCTCCAGCCCCTTTCTAGGCATAGCTAGAGACACAGACACGGCTATAAGGGAGCGGAGATGTAGTTAGCAGGGAGCCGGGCGGGCCGGGCACGGCTCCTTCCTACCTGGCTGTCGGGCAGGTCCGAGGCGTGGCGGTGGCGGGCGCCAGGCTGCGGCAAGCCTGCGAGAGAGAGCAGAAGCGCTGAGCGCGGGGAGGGCGCGGGGAGGGGGCGAGGCGGGCGGCGCTTACCTGAGGCGCGCGGCGCGGCGCACAGGCAGCAGGCGGCGAGGAGCCAGCGCAGCGCGGGCGGGCGGCGGGGCGGGGGCATGTCCCGGCCGGGGCAGAGAGCTGGGCAGCGGGCGCGTGTGCCAGGCCGGCGCCGGGCAAGGCATCTTTATGTGGCGCGGGGCGGGGGCAGCGCCGAGCCCACCCTCTGCCCGGCGGGAGGGACACCACGGCCCTGCCTGCTCCAGGTCCCTGACCCTGCCTCTTGAACCGACGTGGGGAGGGAGTCTCTTACATGAGGCTGAGGGAACTGGGCTTATTAGGCACATCGATCCCTGCCCATTATGCCCAGGTGTGCTTGGGCAGGTGCAGATGTGCATTTCCGTCTTGAAATGCACTTTTAATATACATTTAAAGATGCATATCACTTAGCCTATTTTAATGCACTGAAAAAAAGCATGCTATTTAGTTAATGCACATTAAAATAGGCTAATGCACGTTATGTTGATTTGTCCTTGGCAAGCGAAGATGACCACATTGGGGTGGGCGGAGAGAGAAAGGAAGCAGGAAAGAAAAGGGGAGGGAGAAAAGGAAAGAGAGAAAAAAAGGAGAAAGAAGAGAGAGGAAAAAGTGAAGGGTGGGGTCAACAATCTGCTGTAGCAGGGGCAGGAGAGCAACGAGGACTGGACACGACAGGTCCTCATTTTCCTGGCCATGTGCTTCCTCACTGCTTCTGCTGTGCGCTGCTGCTCGAAGGCCAGTGCTTCGCTCTGGATCAGTGACCTCCAGGATGGATGGTAAAGAGCGAAGTGAACATTAAGCATCACTTAAAAACCATGCTCTTTAGTGACTGTGCATTAAGGCAGGCTAATGCACATTTTCCTAGTACCTCACCATGGAGGGGATTTATACACATACTTTTTCTCACTGTGACATGCTGGGGATGTGCGTCGCACAAAAGCTGACACGCACCACACTCCGTCACTTGCAGTTGTATAAAGTGGTGAATTCACGTCACTGAGGAGAAAATGGCAGCAGTGAGCTTTTGAACTGAAACACCTTTGATGTGTTTTAGCTCAAAAGTGCATCGCTGCCATTTTCTGTGCACTGGTGCCCATTTCAGCATTTATACAACTATGTGCGTGGCAGCGCCTAGCACTTTTCAAAGCACCTGGCTCTGCAGCGTATGCATGTGTAAAAATGCCCAGAGATACGAGAATTAATGCACGTTAACTGAAGTGTGTTAATGCATGTGTAGATGTGCCCATTTAGTCTGGAGAAGAGAAGCCTGAGGGGGATTTGAGAGTAACTTTCAAGTACCTGAAGGGGGTTCCAGAGAGGATGGAGCTAGACTATTCACAGCGGTGGCAGATGAGAGAACAAGGAGCAATGGTTTCAAGTTGCAGTAAGGGAAGCTTAGGTTGGATATGAGGAAAAACTCTTTACTACAGTGCTTCACTACCAAGAGGCCCCAGCGGGGAGGCGGTGCAGCCCGCCCTGGACCCTGCAGCAGTGGCAGTGGCGGCGCAGCCTGGCGCAGCCCGCCCTGGCCCCCGTGGCGGAGGTGGCAGCCCCCACAGCAGCAGTGGTGGCACATCCCGACCCACCCTGGCCCCGGCCCTGGGCCCCTGTGGCGGGGCAGCCAGCCCCGGGCCCTGAGGCAGTGGTGGCACAGCCCGTCCCAGCCCCGGCCCCCCGCAGGGAAAAAAAGTCCACTGATAGCCTGCACCACTGTATAGCCCACACTCATCCATTTTTTTTGTAAAATCGCGTATACCCCATGGGATATATGCGCAAAAATACGGTAATCAAGTCTGCTCCACATTCTAATTACAGCACTCATTGCTGCGGTGTCACATACACAGGGGCTTAATACACATGCTGCTGTGGAGTTTTAATTAGAGCTGCCCTCTGGGAACTGTTCTGAAATGGCCTCCCTTCCACCCCCGTGCACATGTATAGGCACCCTTTGCTGCTATAGTCTTTTAAGAGCATGGAAATAAGTATGTGGAATTGCCACGTGTAAAATACTTCAGGTTAGTCACTGCTCTGTAGGAATTAATGAAGTCACTAGAGATTCATTTCTGGAAACCATTTCAGGTTCCTAGCTTGTCCATGACAGGGCTATTGGATGAGACATCCTAAGTGAAAAGAAAAGAAAAGAAAAGAAACATGAAACAAAAAAGAAGCATCTGAGAAAGTCAGGGGGTTTTAAAAATAGAAAACTCTCTTTAACACTAGGACTTACTCATGTTTGGAAAAATATTTCTGATTGTGACAGCCTGGAGGATTAGATCTACCCTGTTCATTTGGAAGGAGAGTAACATTCAGATCAGATCCTGTTTTTTTTGTCTCCTGTGGTAAGTTTAGCATAGAAATCTTTGGTTGAAATAAGAACCCCTTGTCTAGCATTTCTAAAGTATGTATATGATGGCATGTCCCCAAGTTATAGAAAAGACTTGATCTGTTCAAATGGAACAGGCAATTTTTTATCCTCCTCTGATCCAATATGTAAGTTCTACCTGGGAGTGTTCTGACATGTTTATTCTATTTTAGCTTTTGGGGCACAGGGATGCTTTATAGTGAGGTCTGAAGATGACAAAGATAAATGTCTCCTGATCACCATTGAGAGAATGTTTGAGCCTGCTGTTGCTAATACTTTTTCTTGGGTTACCTTAAACTGACAGGTGGCCTGAATTATCCATGATGTGATAGAAGAGTGTAACTGCCATGTTAGGTAATAGAATAAAAAGCTAGCCAGAGAGAAGATATGCTTGACTGAAGAGGAAGCCTGCTCTTCAAAGAATTTCCCTTTTCCAATCTTCCTGGCCCGTTTGAGCCATCTGTTCTTTAACTGGCTCCACCATGAATCAAGATAATTGGAAGGCCACACTGTCTATGCAGAATGCACAGAAGAGCTGCATATCATTGAGATGCTACTGGCACTGCAGACCATGTTGTCTCCCTGTGTCCCTCAATGGTTGTACATAGACACTAAACAAATATGATGACAGGATTTTCCTTGTGGGACTCCACATGTCAGAACAGACAGAAAGGAGCAGCATCTGCCTTCTCTTAGAAGAACGGAAAAAAGAGATTAGCATGATTTTGTCAGTTTAAAAAGATAAAGCAACAATACGTTGCACTTGAGGATGCAAAGCAAATGACCAACTCCCCCCTGCCAAACCCCCGAATCAATGGTGACCTAACTCTAGTTATCTTCCTGCCTAGACTGGGAAGGGGGGGGCGCTGGACCCGATGATCTGTGAGGTCCCTTCCAGCCCTTAGCAATCTATGAATCTACAAATGGTGGACTGAGAAGCCTCAGCATAGTTGATTCACCTCTCTATTCATTGTCTTAAGATTAGATAAAGAATAAGGAGAAAATTTGGTTGAGACACATGCAAAAGTGAAAGTTGTTTCCTTTTTGTTAATGTGCCCTCCATTTTTGCTGCACCATAATTATCGTAGTGCATTGGCAATGTGTAGGGGGTGCACGTGGGTGCACATGCACCCTCTGAGATCATCTGTGCACTCCTTGGAAGTGCCAGCCATGAAACCGGAAGTGCTGGCAGAAGTGCACTTCCGCTTTCACCGCTAGCTTGGTGGTTGGCCTCTTGGGGACACCCTGCCTCTCCCCCAGTCAGTGATCAGCTTCTGGGGGACTCCCCCCCATTGGCGATCTGGTGCCCCCCCAGACTGGGGAGGCACCAGTTGCCCATGTCATAGTGCCATAATTAGCTTGGTTTAAAAGAGTTTGGGATATCAGCAGAGATCAGATATTGTATGATTAAAATTAAGGGGTTTCCGATAGCAGTGAGATGAAGTATTCCTCACAGGCTTTCATCAGAAGAGAGAGAAAAGGAGTCAAGGTCACAGATAACTCTGACTTCTTTTGATGAGAAACCCCTTTGGATTATGTACAGGCTTCTCTTCCAGTATGTACCAGTATGAATCAGCTATGTTGAGGCTTCTCAGTCCACCATTTTTTGGAGCTAAAGACTAAACTATATCTGTTAAACCTTTTTATTCAGATAAGAGATTTTTTTGGCAGCAGGATGAGGTTGGATTTACTAGTGAGAAGAATCCCAGGGTTTATTAGTTTTTTAATGGTGTAATATCATTCAGGTCATTGGAGTGAAGTCACACCAGCATGAAAAGGGAGTGACACAGTAATGAACGAGGCCCAGTAATGTAAAGAAAGTGGGCATAGTGTTCTTGTCATCTTTATTGAAGGTTTTGAACCAAACTCATCTACAGGAACAAGAGTTTTATAAAAAGTATGTTCTGGATTCAATGTTCAATTCATTACTGAATTAAATTAAAAAGTATAAAATCATTATGTGCATACCTAGTATACCATTGATGGTATACTTTTATCAATTCATCAGATTTGTGGTTCGAATCATGTATTTTGTAGAGACATTTCCAAAACTAGTAGGTCTAATTCTTTTCAGGTTTTCCTGCTCAGTAAACAAGACATGCTATTTATACTTTTTTCGCCTTCAGACTAGAGTTATACTTTTGCTAACCTCAGGCCTCCTTATTCTGCCAGATATGTAGGGCCCCAATATAGCAAAGTACTAGAGCACTACTAAATTTTAGGCACTTGAATAGTCCATTCCATGTAATAAGGTTACTCATGTGCTCAAGGTTAGGGATATACTTAATTAGCTCAATAAAATGAAGCATCAGTTTTTAAAAACTTCAGTATAACCACATTTAACACTCAAAATGGTAATTATAGTGAGAGAAGGGAGACTATGTATATTTTAAAATAGATAAAAATAACACATGGGAAATTAACATAGTCTTTTCCCTTAAACCAGAATTATTTTTCTCCTTCTGTATGTTTCATTTAATAGGTGTTAGCTGAGAATACAGCATTGCCAATAGATGTATCAGCATCAAGC